AATTATGGGTTTTGTATTTTATTTTAATAGAAGTTGATGTTGCTTTTGCAATTATCCATCAATTTTTTAAAATTAAACACTATCTACAGATTTGCATCGAAGCGTTTCTTATGATAGTGACTTTAATCACTGTCAGATTAAATCTATACTAGACCCAACTATGCAATGTCTCCACTATGCCGCGACCCCACCGTGCTACCGTTTTTTTTAAATATATATAATTCATAGTCCTATTTATAAATAACTAACAATAAATATGTAATTATTTTGTTTTAGACATTACAAAATAGAATTGAAATGCTACAATCCGAGCTAAATAGAGTTAAAAATATAGCTAACTAGTTAAAATTTTACGATTATCATATTCAAAATTATTTTATCTAATTATATTAAGTTAATTTAAAAATTATTCGTTGATATCATTCTATAGTGAATAATTTATGCTGTATAACTATGTTAGTATTGAAGTTTGCAAGCACAGCTATGAAATGGATGTAAGTGCTTTTAATATATATTAAGTAAATACAAATATTAATATCGTTATGAAAATATTTTTATAATATAATTAACATTATAACAAATAATATTGCACTAGTTTGTGAACTATTATCGCCGTACTTTTTTTATTAATCGAGTATTTTTATATTGATTTGAACTTTATTCAAACATTTTTTTGAAAAAGCATACACTCATTTATTTTTATAACAGTGGAATAATTAGCAACATCATTTTTTTTACATTGTTCAGAAAACAAACTAAAAATCTGTAGTATCAAGTTCCGTATATGAGGCATGTATATTTCTGCGATATTAACTTTTTTAGTGGATGGATATGCTCATTTTTTTAATCGTTTTAGTTTATTTTATTAATGATTTACTATCAGAAAATATAAAAAAGTGAATAACGAAAAAAACATTATAGGCCTATAGTGGAAGATTGAGAAGTAAGTCTCTCATTTAACCCTTCCTTTACAAAAAAAGTATAATAAACAGATTTAAATGTTAATTATAACACTTACATACAGTATATGCTATTAATTTTATAAACATACCCCTCCTATGTTAAACACCCACTCTATATTTTAAAATGCTTGTAATTTAATAATTAATTGTCAAACTATTAATTTTCCAATATTAAAAAAATAATAAATACGATTTTAACGTAGTCTAAGAATACATAAGTTATTTAAAAAATATATTATAACGAAATGTTAATTACATCAAAAGTTATATGTAGAATTTGTGAGTGTGATCTATTCTCCCTTAATACATATTTATAAATTTATATAGATAAATTGTATATCTATGAAATACATACAATTATTTAAATATTTTTGAGTACATTCCTGTGAGAAATTGCAGGTACACATAAACAATTATACCCTAATACTACTCCTAATTTGAAGTCCGTAGTTGCCATACCTCCTTTTTAGATGTATAGCTTTTTCTTTTAAAGTATCATTTTGTGTTTGTTTAGTTATTTAAGACTCAGATAACACTTTTACCGTAGATTTTAAACTAGAAAAATACACATTAAGCTGACATTCAATGGAACAGAATTTAGTCTTGTGAAGAATGTAGAGATTATAATCTCAAAATTATAATCATATTTCCATTATTACCGAATTATATCAAATTACTATTAATTAATTTTATAATTACTAGGTCTGGATTAAGAAGGGGATAGAACGACCCAGAGCCCATCAAAAGTTCACTAGCCTGTCATGATAAGTAACATACAGTTTTTCGGTTTTTTGCTCGTTACTTTTTATGGAAGCTATATTTTCTATAGGAGTACATATAAGTCTCAATCCAACCCATATTTACTTTCTGTTTAGTTTTTATGGCCATGTTCAAATTCAGCTGTAAAATTTTTAACAATAAGTTTTTGATTTTCTATTATTTTTCAAGTTATGAGTAAAAAAAAATGAAAAAGATGTCCATTCCATGATATAGAAGAGCGGCTTCCAAACTTATCAACGGGGGCTCATCCACTTGAAGCCTCCTCTTAAAAGCGTCCATTACAACAGTCGATTGTTACTGTACTGATTATACTCTGCGAAACTAAATGATTATTTTAAATATTCATAGCGGATTAGGTGGCAATATAATCACTAATACTTTTACAAATTCTTAATTATTATTTACATAGTTGTAAATTTAAACGAGAATGAAAATTCTAAGATTGTTGTGAACTGGATTTTTGCTGCCTAATTGTAATTGTGCAATTTAATAGTATATATATTAATTATGGGAACGGAAGCCTCTTTTGTCTTGTATATAAAGTATTAACCAGACAAGCATCTAGTCCTTCTAGAATATTCGATGCTTGCTCAGCCCTTTTCAATGTATTGGGCCTACGGCCGCCGCCGCCTGAGGCGACGTGCCAAAGTAGTCAGCTACTCGTTCAAGAGTCATATAGTTCATAGAGTCGAACCTGGACGACTCTCCACTGAATCACTTCTTTTGTTAATTTGTTCACTGAATCTTTTATATTAATTAAGTATCAACTCATTAAAGTCGTAAAGTCAATTATAAGTGTAAATATATTTTTAAATATAATAAATAGCAACTAATTATCAAACACATTATCTTTTCATTTTGTCTACCGTACCAACCCGGTCACAACACACTTATTTCCAAAATAAGTCAATTTGGTTGAAATGTTTACGGATCCGTAATTATTTCAAGACATCCAACAAAAACTAAAGCTTTAACACATTCATATAAGTGAATTTGACATATTTTTCACAAAGTAATTCAAACAAGATAAAGAAAAAATGCCTAATAAAATAGAATAAAATTTTGAAATGCAGATTTTATTTTTAAAATCACAATATTTGACTCTGAGGACCCCTACCCTCTCCTACCAAAATTAAAAACAATATATTATAAAAACACAATACGTTAATCCTTTCTATTGAAGTACGCCAAATTTTAGGTAACAACATGAAAGTAAGTTAAATTCAAATGAAAGTTGGATAAATGTGATATATTTTTTTGGTCATATTGATGGTTATATTTGTTGTTTAGAAATTTTTTTTATTAATATATTTTTTGATGGATTAACTATATAATTTATAACCATTAATATAAATGTATTATTAACATTACGTGAATAGAGTCGTCAAAGGGATTTTAATATATTCCCCGTCAATGCAGTGACCATCTTGGAAATTCTTGATAAATGAAGATTTTTTTTCTTCAAATAGTCTACACTATTATATATACAAAACGTAATTTTAAAACATCAATAGTTTTGATAAAACATTAACTTACTGTGATGTTTTTGCAGTGATATATCAATATATTGTCATTGAAATATTGATATCCATGATTTTAGCTTCGATTCGAAGCTGAGAAGGTATTGGTTTATACAGGGTGATTTTTTTATCATAACCCACTCAATTACTTGCAGAATAATAATAATTTAAACATTTTTTTTTTTTCATTATCTTTAGTTACACATTATTCTTGAATTTTTAATTATGTAATACTTTTTAAGTTCATCCCTTATGCCTTGGAAGGGGGTCAACTTTGTTTTTTTAAATGGTAACACATATTTTTAATTTAATAAAATGTTTGAGTTTTTAATTTAATAGTAAATGGCATTTGAATTTTTAATATAACTTAATTCGTTTATTAGATATAATCATTTAAAGTTTCAAATTTTTGAATTAATATACAGGTATAATACACAAGGGATTACAAATATAGGTAGCTAATTGGTTTTTTATAACATCGATATTAGCAGGTACACAGCATTGTTATTATCAATTGTAGTAAGGCACATTGTTATGAGTTTATAAATACACTAACTGACAATACAGAAAGTATATCTATTGATAATCATAATTGATAATAAACAATCCGTGACTGAGACAGCAATGTCATAAAAATCCAATTAGCTACCTGTATTTACAATCCCATGTGTATTATACATGTATATTAACTCAAAATTTTGAAACTTTAAATGTTTATATCTAATAAGCTAATAAAGTTATATTAAAAATTCAAATGCCATTTACTATTAAATTAAAAACTCAAACATTTTATTAAATTAAAAATATGTGTTACCATTTAAAAAAACAAAGTTGACCCCCCTCCAAGGCATAAGGGATGAACTTAAAAAGTATTACATAGTTAAAAATTCAAGAATAATGTGTAACTAAAGATAATGAAAAAAAAAAATGTTTAAATTATTATTATTCTGCAAGTAATTGAGTGGGTTAGGATAAAAAAATCACCCTGTATGATAGGTTTTTTGTTATTTCTTTTTTTGTGTCTGTTACCACTTTATCTCAGCTTTCACCGAACCCATTTCTTTCAACGATACGTCAAAATATTACAAACCGTATATAGCCGAAGACATTACCCTCAAAAATTGAAAAAATTTCCCTCGTTCCCCGTATATAGGAGAAACCTCCAAAAAAATTACAAATTTAAAAATTGCTAATTTTTGAAATTTTTTACATTAAACTGCCATAACTTTTTTAAAAATGACCAAATCAATATAATTTTTTTTTATAGGTGTTTGATGTCTTTACCTATCATTTAGTATATTTTTTTTATAAATATAACTCTGTACCTGTCCACGGGGGGAATTAAAATGACAACTTTTTCACAAAAAATTAACTTTTGAAATTGTTCCGGAAAGTCTGACACTTTTATATATATTTTAAATTAAAGCTAATGTAATATATTTTATTATGAAAAAAAAATTTCGAACTTTATTTTGTCTTCACGGTGAAAATACTCGCTGATAACACTATTTTCCTGTATAATTTTTGGTTTTCGTACCCGTATACGTGTGCGTGTTATCAATATTATATATAAATATATATATATATAAACAAATTTTTATTGTTTATTATTAGATATAAAATTATTAGATAAGTATTTAAAGATTCAATTTCTTTTTGAGTTAATATACGTGTATAATACTTAAGGGATTACACGTAGCTAATTGATTTTTTAAGATGATAGTAGCAAGCATATAGCCTTTATTATTAATGGTAATAAGACACATTGTTGTGAGTTTATAAACACACTAACTGGCAATACAGAAATTATATCCAATACTAGTGATAATTAACATAAATACTCCATGACTGTAACAGCGATGTCATAAAAAACTAAAAAGTGAAAAATAAATATAGCTTAAATAAACTGAAAAACACGATTTTAAAGCATATAAAACTCTCCGTCTAAAACTTTTTTAATTTGTCAGCAAGTACCTAAAAAATAAATGTAATTATAATTGTTAATTACCAAAAAAATGAACAACATACCATAAAGTCGACAAGTAAATACTTGTCACTATAATAACCGAGAGTTTTGTATTCAAAATGTCACCACATTTTTTTTGCGTGTTCATAGTCCTCTTCGGATACTGTAGATTTCGTAATGGAACTGTAAAAATGTTTGCGGACCGACAGCTGAATTTCGACGAGTTTTTCCCAATTATCTACGTATTCGTACGGAAAACTCTATTTCCGTGTGACCAACTCCAACGATTTAAAGACATTTAAT